CCTGTAGTTCCAGCTACTTGGAAGGCTGAGGCAGAAGGAATGCCGGAGCCCAGCAGGTCGAGGCTGCGGTGGCCGGGAGCGGCCACTGCACTCCAGTCTGGGTGACAGAGTGAGACTCCAACTCAAAACAATAAAAAAATAAAAATCTATTGTGTAACACAGCAAGCATCTACTAGATGTCAGGCAGCTCAGATACACAATGTCTATTAATCACCAGCACCTAATAGCCCTGGCCTAAAAAAAAAAAAAAAAAAAAAAAAGCTGAACTGGTATGTCAATGACTTAGTAGACAGGCCCAGGGCCAGGCAAATTTGATCTCAAATTCCAGCTGCATCATTAATCGTGTGGCCTTTATAAAGAAACCTCTGGAGTCTTGAAAAAACAAAACAAAACCCTCCAAGGATTGCAATAGAGTATCTCTAAGCAAGACTGCCAAGTCTCTGCATTTTCTCTCTCTCTCTCTCTGGGTTCTCTCACTCATCGGTCTGGTCTGGCACTTTTCCTCTAATGGATCATCTGTCCCATGTGTGTTCTCCTTCCCCTTCTGAGGAAACTAGTCTGTAAAACGACCCTCAATGAACCATGTCTCCCTTGTAACCACCTTTGTATCCACCTCCCTCCCAAACTGACTCTGGATGGGTCCTGTGACTCTTTTTACCAATCGAAAGTGCCAGTTCTAGACCTCAGGCTTAAGAAGGCCTGGCAATTTGTGCCCTTGTGTTCTTGGAAGCCAGCCACCACATAAGAACTCCAACTACCCTACTGAAGAGAAAGCCACATGGGAAAGCTCTGGGGGATGAGATGACACATAGAGAGGCTACATAGGAAAGCACCAACATATCAGACAGGTGAGTGAAAATGCCATTTTGTAGGCTGTAGCCTAGCTGAGCCTCCAGGACTCCCACCCAGTCACCATCTGACTGCACTGTATGAGAGAAACTAAAACAGACCAGCAGAAAAACCATCTAGCTGAGCCCCATTAACCCACAGAGACCCTACGATTTGGAGTGGCTTGTTACATAGAAATATGTAAAACATCATTCCTTAATTACAGCACAGCCCACTCTCTCCTCACCATTCCTTGCAAACTCCTGTACCACAAACACAGGAACAAAAAATGGGAAAATAGAGCCTAGAGAGAAAGAGCTCAAGTTCAGGATCAAGGTGACCTCTGCACCCATCCTAGTTCCCTTAGCAGTGTCATATTCTGTTAGGACCTCTGAAGACCAGAACTTCCAGCCAGATCCTGGATTCTAAGGACAGTACCTAGTTCTAGGAAAGCTCTGTTTGTTCGCATTCCAATCAAATTACCCTCCAAATTATTCCCCTTCAGCTCCTTAATTTCTTCTCTTCACTCAAGGTAAGTGCAGGCCACAAAGAATTCCTGGGCCCTGTGGGGTCCTCCAGCCACTGAATCTGTCCAGCCACTGGACCTGCCCTGGTACCATATCTGACTCTTCAAATCTTCCCCAGGACAGAGATCTAGGCTCCCCCCTCTATCCACCTTTCCCAGGAACAGTTTCTCAGTATCCATGTACCCCAGAAGGGTGGTGGAAATCTCCTCCTATATGGGGTCCCAGGTCTATATGGAGGTGATTTTGGGCCTGGCATGGAGCTGGCAGAACATGTTCCCTTATCCCCTAGCCCTAGTCTCAGATCTTTTCCTCTACCCGATCTCTCAAATGATATTAGAATCCTTCTCAGCTTCCTTCCCTTCTCATGGCTAAAGAGACCCTCAATAAAGATTTTCTAGTTGCTCTTATCTATCGGTCTTTATATCTCATAGCCAGCTGTGCGCCTTGGCTCTTAAGCCTCATCCATTTTCTGGGAGTAGCTGGCTCCCTTTTCCTGGCCCTTTGAAGGACTGCACCACCCTGCATAGGGAAGACCCTTGTGGCCAGAGTCCTTGGGCCTCCCAGGGCCCTCCACACTTCTCTGTTTGTGCTGAGGTTTTTCTGGGAGCCACGCTCTGGAAGCCAGTTATGTGCAACACCATCTCACCATTTCCCTGGAGTCTCGATCAAAGAGAAATTCCTGATAACCAAGACTCATCAAGCTGGCCTCCTCCCAGGGGCTGGCTGGCGACCAGGACAGACCTAGTGACCTTTTCAGATTTAGCTCCCACTCCCCTCCTCAGTGCGTGCGTCCTGCAAAGCCACTGTCCCCAAGCTCCTCTTTCTTCATCAGAACAAGGGAGAAATCCCTGGGGAATATCTATTCTGCACAGTTTTCAGTGCCTCACTCTCCTCTACTAAGATGGGGTTCCTGGTAACACTCTTTCCCAACAGAGCATGAAAGGTCCACAAGCACAGGATGTGCACTAGAGGTGCCGTTCTCAGCTGTGTACTCCCATCCCATCCCTCTCCCAGGAGGCTGGGCAGTCCATCCATCTGTACTTGTTTCCCCAACAGCCGCCCTGGCATTTTGAATTCCATGCCCCCAGCAGCTTGGTGCCAGGCTGACATCCCATGGAGTTCCCCACCTCTAATGTTTGAGGTCCCCTCCTCCAGTCTCATTATTCTATCTGCTGGCCAGTCTCTGTACCAGACTGGGGAGCACTGCATTCTCTAACTGAGTTGTCTTTCAGGACTCACCCCATCCAAAGGACTCTACTTGCATATTCTCTACCCTGCCCAGGCCTTAATCTGAGGTCCAGCTTGCTCATGGAAGAGGTTCCCAGACACCAAGCTCCTGATCCAGGATCCTCTCTTTGAAACCACATCTACTTTGGCCCTGAGAAGAGTTGCATTGAGTATTAAGCCACAAGGCTCAGGTCCACACGTGCATCCACCTGTGGGCAGACCAGCTTGCTCTAAAATCACACTTCCAGGTGAGCAGAGGAGATACTCCAAGCTGCTCCACAATCCAGCAGCCCTCATTTTAGCTCTAGCAGTTTAGCCTCCGCTTAGAGGTGCTGTCACCAACATGCTGACCTCGGGGATTGTGCTTGCCCTTTTCCACATGGATCTAGATCTTTCTCTCGCTTGCCTGTTAGCACAGTTGAACCCAGGCTATCATGTTGACAAGAGGCACAGGCACAAGGGGTAATATTCAGCCATCCGAGCCACTTCGCCTCCCTCATATTCATTCACTTGTCTGTAAAATGGGGAAAGCGCCTCATCCTTCACAGAGCTGTCAAGGGGCTGGTCATAATGTATGTACAATGCCTAGCAGAGGCTCCCCAAATAGAGGTTCCCCCTCAGTGATACTGTTCATCCCACTGCTGGGCAGTTCTGTTGCAAGTTACTAGTCAGGAGTGGTCTGGGAGGCCCTTAGTCACTGGAGATTTTTCTAAGAACATATATGCAGGGGATATGACTGACACACCTAAGACTGTCCCAGCTGCTAATCCTGCTTGTCCCCTGGGCCTAGTTCACCCTTTCCCCCCCAAGAAAAAGTAAAGCCACTCCATTCTTGTTAACTCCCACCCAGCCTCATCCCCACCCAAAACAAAGCTGGCTGAGTCCAGTCAGTGATGCTCCTCACCAGACAGACATCTACCAGACAAATTTCCACATCAGTATTTCCTGGGAAAGTGTAGCCACCAGAAGAACTCCCAAAATAAGCATCTCTCCCAAGGATTTTGAACTAGAAACAAGGAGGCTCCAGGTCTTCATAGAAGTAGTAATACATTTGCTTTATTTTACATCTGAATCTTAGGAAAGGAACTGGGAAAGCCAAGGAGCACACCTCAGGCTTCTCCAGCTTCTCCAGACACAGAATCAAGAGGTTTCCCAGAACATGTTCTGCTGACAGTCCATGACAGCTCATTCCAGCAGCCCCCCTGAACCTTGCTGACATGCTACCATTTTGGTTGTTCTCTGGACCTGAAAAATACAGAATGTAGCTTTATAAGGCCAGGCTCGATTTTTGACAATGTTGCCACAGGACACTTCCTCAGGCAAACTCACCATATAATCATTTGACTCCTATCTATCCTTCTTTCCTTCTTTTTCCTACTGATGAGTTGCAGAGAACATTTTCAGTCAAAATTTGCTACTTTGTTCTTTGTGAAGTAGGCCAGGGGTTTAATTATAAATAAATTCAGTTTCCATGATCTGGCCAGTATTTTACCAGAATGTTGAGGAATACTAACACAACTGAGGGTAACGGTTAGTTTAGTCTTTACAACAACTCTGGGATTAGGCAGCCTTTTAGTCAAGGGGATGTCCTTTAAGGTCACCTCCCCTGCCCCCCAAAGGACTTTAGAAACTTCGGATCTCACTCAGGCTGTGACCATGAGCTCAGTGATTAGGGGACAGTGAGGCCTCACAACTGTCACCCAGACAATAAACAGCCAGCCGACTTGGCTCAGCAGGTCCTGTGCAGCCCTGGGGCCAGGCCAGAACCCCAGGCACAGGAAGGCACTTTCAGGATCTGAGCCTTAGCCTGGGGGAGCTGGAACAGGGATGTGGGGTGCTGGTTGGAGGCTGCAGTATCCCGGGGTCAAGCCCGCTGTTGGGGCTCTGCTGGTGGCCAGCAGGCTCAGCTGATCAGCAAGTGGGTGGCCCCGGCAGCCTGACCCGGGGCAGCACGACCGTCCACGCACGGGTCGCCAGGATCTGAGGGCCGGGATGGAGACGTGGGCTGCGGGGCCGAGCCAGTGCCACTTCTCGGACCCCCAATCCTCTGTGCATGTTCCCAAGACCGCGGCCTCCGGCAGCCCTTCTCTGGCCCCTGCCACTGCTGGGAACGCTCCCGCCCGCTCTAGAACTCGCACAGGCAACAAGTTCTCGCTTCCTCGGGGCGGCCACGATGTGCTCGGGAGGCCCGGCGCGGGGAAGTGCTCCCAGCGACCCCGCGCTGCCCACGCCCCGGCGGGCGCCCGCTGCCTCCGCCGCCCTAGGAACGCTGAGCTACAGTCGCACCGGCGGCGGCTGCCCTCGGGGCGTCCCCCGGACAGGGACGCGGCGGCATCCCCAGCGCGGGCAACAGGTCTGCGAGCGCAAGGAGGACCGCAGCCCCGGGTCTTCCAGCCCCAACCCTCGCCGGCCCCTTACCTCCAGCAACTGCACGTAGCTCGCCGGGAACCAGCCGCGCAGCCCGTCCTCCTTCTCGCCCTCCCACCAGCCGCCGTCCGGGACCTGCAGCAGCGTGATGAGCTCGCCCGCGGCGAAGCGCAGCCCCTGGCCGTGGCGCTCCCCGGAGAAGGGGTACAGGGTCCGGCAGCGGGCGCCGGACATGGCCTTGGCGCCCGGGTTCACAGTGCAG